GTGATTTGTAAAATGAAAATATTTTATACTGAAAAGCAATATATACTGTTATATATGCTCGCTATATGAAAATAATAATTTATCATACAAATAATACTACATTAAGAAAAGAAATTTAAATATTTTCAGTCCTAAGGAAAAAAAGGAATCAACTTGCCATAAATTAAAATAACTTAAATACAATAAACCCATAAACCCAGTAATCCCAATGTACTTCACATAATATTAATGCCTTGCAAATTACGTATTACTTTTAGCACTATTATCCACACTATTATTATCTGAATATTCTCTTGGATCAATGAATTATTCGTCTGATTCTTCTCTCTCTGCTTCTGATTGTCGATATTTCTCTATTATTTGTTGAAAATCACTTGATGTGGAGACATGTTCAAGAAAAGGATGCTACGTGCAAGATTATAAATCACAATAAATCACAATAAATCACAATAAATCACAATAAATCACAATAATTAACTACTTAACAAATAATAATTAAATGAGTTAAAAAACTTACAGAAAGCATTTCTTCCGCAGTTTTTCTTTTGCTAACATCGGCTTCAGTGCAACTTGCAATAAAATCTTTGAATGCATCAGACCACTGTTCTGGATTACTCAGGTCGGGGAGACCTTTCTGAACTATCAAAGATATAGCCTTTAGGGGTGGCATATCCATATACGGAGGTGCTCCCTCTGCCATTTCAATCAATAGGACGCCAAGACTCCATATATCCACCTAAAAAAAGACCTAAGTCATAAGAATATAATCATTCTAACAGGCAATAAATTTTTATAAGGAATAGAAATTGAACCTTTGTATCATAAGGTAAGGTTTTTATAACCTCAGGAGCCATCCAATAAGGAGTACCTATAAATGATTTTCGGTGAGGCTCCGTATCGATCAACTGTGCAGCATGCCCAAAATCAGCTGAATAAATATTTATATAATCAATCGCGTTAGTACTGTATTTAAAATCATTATACAATCTATAATAAATGATTAATAGTAAGTAAAATGACATTACCAAGTTTAATATCTCCCCGTGCGTTTAGTAAGACATTATCGCTACGAACATCTCTATGTATTCGTCGTTGGCTATGAAGATATGTCAAAGCTTTCAAAATCTCTCGAGTAACAAGTGCTATCTGAGGTTCACTCATCTGCAATTCGTCCGCGATGAGGTCGGCCAAAGACACTTCCATAAACTCCATAACCACCTATGAAAAATATTATTATTATTATCAAAAAAAAAAGAGTAAATAAATAAAAAATATTATAAATAAAATAAATAGGAAAATAGAAAATAAATTCAAACTAACCCATATAGAATCTGACACACAGTGACACCCTATATATTCAACAATATTAGGATGTCGACTTGTTTTCATAATAGTCAACTCATTTTTTATTATTTTTAATTTGTCAACACTTGAAAAAGGAATTATCTTGATAGCAACCTATATATGTATATAAATTTTTTTTATAAATAAGATATATACAAGAATCGTTTTATTTTATCAGTATAATAAAGAATCTTACCGGTTCCTGTGAAGATTTTTTACTCGCGGAATGCATATTACCCGATTCTCCTTCAGCGATTGGAATCAAGTTTTCATATATTTGATTTGGATCACGCATATCGAACAATTCGGCTATAATAAAATAAAGTTAGCAAAAATATAATAATTATATTTTTTCATAGAAAATAAATTGCAAACCTAAATGCTGAACATCCTGTGGTAATGTTTCCGGATTTGAACAAGGTATTTCAATATCAGTTTGCATATCTTTTGACATATTTGATGATTTCCAGACGTCTGATGTGGATAAGTTTTCAGACAATCTCGATAATTTTGTCACCGATGTTGTTGATACTAATGAATTGTTTATTAAAGATGGAAGATATGAAGGTAAAGACAATCGATTTATTATTTTTCTGTCTTTTGGGTGTAATTCTTGTATTTGATGAATAAAACTATTGTCCGTTGTTTTCAAAGAATATTCAGAAGATATGTTGGAATTAGACACAATTTCTAAATTAACGTCTAATGTGGCTGTTTTAGACTCACATGAGTCATTGTTCAAACTTTCTGTTAACGATGGATTTAAATCTTTTTCCGTAGGTGTTTTCAAAGAGCATTCAGAAACTATGTTGGAAACTTTGGATTCATTTTCTAAATTAGCGTCTAATGTGGCTGTTTTTGACTCACATGAATCATTGTTCAAACTTTCTGTTAACGATGGACATGAATCTTTTGTCGTAGATATTGGATCATCTGAGCATTTCTGTTTTGAACAAG